TCTCTTAAGTTCTTTCTCTCCTTTATAGTCCCTAAGGCTTTATAGGATGTTGTAAAGAATGTTTCTGGGATCATACAGTCAGTCCCCATTTCTAATACTGAACAACTGAATTTGCTTTCTTCTTCAGGACCATACCTTGTCCAGAGTGTTTGTGAGTGATAAAGTGATTGATATTTATAACACTGAAAACTAAAAACATAATTAATTAAAAAATTTATAGGTCAATTGTGAGTTACTAAATACTTATATGGATTAATTATGAACACTTAAATACCCGGAGATTGATTAACTGTGAACTTTATAGTGGTATGATGGAGGGGACAATTTGTTCCATTTCTTGGCGATCTGCTTGGCACTGACTACAAGGATTAATATTTTGGTTTAGAAGGTTCAATTGGCGTTGGTCTACAGGTCCTAAAATTCTGTCGCCACGAATTGCCCATGTTACTTTTTGTTTGAGGAGCGGAGTGGTTGATGTGCCATACTCCTATAAAAAAGTGTACCGATCCTACCAAGCATACCATTCCAAAGCTTATTAAATAGAGCAGTTTTTGGGAAATGCGTCAATCTCTAGGAAGGTTTGTTACAGTATAGTGAATTTTTGAGAAAAAAAACAACTCAAAAATTAGTGTTTAAATTTTTGAATCCTCAAGATCTTAAAAACGTCTTCAACTTTGATGAAAAATGCATAGGTAATGAATAATTGTTCGTGTGATAAGTCTGCTATTCCCCGTGAATTTGTTAAAAATGGTATCTTCTCGGCGGAGTGAGTTAATAAACTCATTTTTGACTCTAGTCTATTTATAGTCTATTCAATTGTTTGATATCTCATAGAAAACCACCCTGTATGGCATAAATCATAGGACTTCGTATATTTTCTTGGGATACTGGATTTATTTAGAAAATAGGAGAGGTTGCATAGCGCTCACAAACCTGGAACTATCTGAAAATCAAAGGTTTTTAATTAAGCACGCTTAACTTGCATACTCACAATTCGACTTCAGTTGGTCTACTAACGTTTGGTTTGGTAACAAACGTGATTGGTTCAACTTTGTTCCAGTCAAACTTTTGTTGTTCATGTTAAGACTTCCGTTCATGAGTCATCTTTTTTTTTCGAACTGAACCATGACTTGAAATGGTGACCATCTCATTTGACTTTTTCCTGTTTAACTTTTATACTACGCTTGTTGTTTTGTATTATTTATTGTTTGTAACATAGTTTTAAAAAATGGGCCTCAAATAACTTAAATTGTGTTGCCAAAATTATCAGAATTTTTACTGTAAGCTTACTGCCTTTGGAATTGCCGGATTTATAATTTCAAAATTAAGACTTTGCTTCGGATTACTGTGGCTATGTGGCGTCATTGTCACAAAAGTTGTCGACGTTTATAAATTTATGAACATCCCGGCTCGATGTTGACGCAACTTAATGAGTAATAAATAAATATCCGAGAGAAAATGCGTGGCCTTCTGTAGAATAATAAAGGAAAATTATCGGACTTATTATTGGTGGTTAGGAAAACAAAATTAAGACGGTTGGAACTACGAAAAAGAAAAAATATTCAATTGTTTGTAAATAACATTTGGTCAATTTTTATTGAAACGTGTAAACAAAAAGGGATCAAGTCACCTTCTACTTTTGTTGGTCAAGTAAAGATAAATCTTGAGCGTCTTTTAGGAATGGATTTTTTTTTTCGTGGAGGGAAGCAAGAGTGAATAGATTAATATGTTATGATAGTTCTTTCGTTCAGTATTACCATAGAATATTTCATATTGTTAAGAGTTAAGTTTCGTTATTAAAATTACTCCAGAATAAAGAAGAGATGGATCCAGATAAAATCAAAAGTGAAGAACAATGTTGTATTTTTTTTTCTTGCCGACAAATGTGAAGAGGATATTTAATATGCTTAGACAAAATCACTACCCGTCAACCCTCATAAGGAAATTGATTAATCAATTCAAATTTGGAAATTACAATGGAAGAGCTAATTATCTCTGATAGAAATGATAAATGAGTATGTTGTTCACTCTTTATAAAAAGATAGTTCCTACTCACAGTTAGTTGTTTTCGACGATTTCAAGCTTATATCTCATTATCAGGTTGAAGCAATTTACAACCGCTAATGCGACGCTCCAATGGGAACACAACTAAATATTATATTAGTAAATACTGAAAAAAAAGTATACATTAGTGATTATTTGTGTTTTTATTAATTACGTAATACAAATAAAAATAATACATTAATATTAGTAAATTAATGATAAAATTAAATAATAATAAAAATTAAATTAATTTGATTAATAACGATAATAATAACTAAATAATACGACTAATAATATTTAGGTACATATTTAAAATAGGAGGTAAATCAAAATCTGTTATATTATTCTCTATTCTATTCTCTATTTCTATTATCTCCATCTTCGATTTTAAATTTTTTAAATTTCAAATTTCTTAGGCCATTCTAGTTCCCTCCCTTTATTGAAACTGTGTAGCACTGTTGTATTTAAATCTGAATTGAAATTATGTTTTGTTTCTTTTAGATGGTCCTTAAATTCCGAAAATTTGTTCGATTTAGGCAAGTGTTCTTTTGCTCTCGTTTTTATTTCGCTTTGTCTTGTATATTTAATATCGCAATCATTACAATTACGTTGGTAAACCCCGCTTTTTGACAAGTTGTTTACCTTATCTTTACGTTTTGATAGGATGTTTGTAAGTAAACACGTACCTTTAAAAGCTAATCTAAAACCTTCTTGTTTTAGAATTTCACCTACATTTTCTGATAGTTTACCAATGTATGGGAAACAAAGGAAACCTAATGATTCATTCTTGGTGGGATGGCTGAGTCCTAGGGTTACTTCTTTTAAAGTTAATTTTTATATTCTTTTAACTAGTAATCTATCAACAAACATTTCTTGATATTCATTGTTTCTAACTTAGGTTTTAATAGTTTGTAATTCTTTTTTATAATTAGCAAAGGGAGTTTTAACATACGGTCTAAGAGCCAAATGAAACCAGCAGATTTTTGGGCACTTGGGTGAGAAGAATCCGCTGGTATCACGGTGCCTGTAGTTGTGGATTTTATATATACGTCTATTTCGATTAGATTGTTTAATATGGATAATTTTAAGTCTAAAAAGTTTAAACAACCATCTTTATTAATTAACAGTGTTCAATTTATATTATAGTGTAAAGAATTAATTAGTTGGTAGAATTCTTTTAGATCCTCTAGTGTTCCTGGCCATATACATAAAATATCGTGTTAAAAAACGAACAGATTCAATTAATTTGTTGTTTGATTTGAAAAGAATTTTTTCAAAATTATCCATGAATATTTCGGCAAAAATAATGGAGACCCCCAGTAGTAACCCATTCTTTTCATAAAATTTATTATTGAATTAACAGCAATTAGATAGTAGGCATATATTTAAGAGGTCTATTAGCTCATTAATAGAATTCTCCGTAAGTTTTTGTTTTAGCCGTTTTGTACATTGTTTAATAGCGATATTTGTGAATAAATTAGTAACATAAAATGGCACATAAACCTAGTTGTTAGGTGTCTACAATTGATAAAATAATTAAAACTCACACCAATTCCAAACCTACATTTGGTATGTTAACATAAAAATATAATCATGTTTAAGTTTTTAAGTTGTTTTCATTTATGTTGAATGTACAAAACTTATAAAACAAAAACTTACGGAGCGTTCTATTAACGAATTTGTAAAAAATAATATTATAGACCTCTTAAATAAATGCCTACTATCTAATAACGAGTTTAAACGATAAACGGTTGCTTGTTAGAATAATAAAAAAATAAACTTTAAAAGAAGCAACAATAGGACTCAGCTACCCCATCAAAAATGAATCATTAGGTTTCGTTTGTTTACGATACATTGGTGGATTATCCGAAAATGTAGGTGAAATTCTTAAACAAGAAAGTTTTAGATTAACTTTCAGAGGTACGTGTTTTTACTTAGAAACATCCTATCAAAACGTAAAGATAAGGTAGACAACTTGTCAAAAAGCGGGGTTTACCAATGTAATTGTAATGATTGCGGTAGAAAAATTAAAACGAGAGTCAAAAACACTCACCTAAATCGAACAAATTTTCACATTTTAAGGACCATCTAAAAGAAACAAAACATAATGTTCAATTTCAATATAAATACAACAGTGTTACATAGTTTCAAAGTGAACCGTGTTAACAGTGTTAAATAGTTTCATCAAAGGGAAGGAACTAGATTTGATTGAGAAATTTGAAATTAAAAAATGTAGCATTGAACATAGAGATACATGCATTAATAATATAATAGAGTTTGATTTAGCTCCTATTTCAAATATCCCGTAAATAATATTAGTCGTGTAATATAATCAAATTAATTTAATTTGTATTAATTTTATCATTAATTTACAACAAAACAAGATGTATTATTATGTATACAATTATTATTAATGTATTATTAATCTGACATTTTAATTTTATTAATTAATAAAAAACACATTAGTTACTAATTTATATTAATTTTTTTACAGTATTTATTAATATAATTCTGTTATAATTTTATTCTATTTCTGTTATAATTCTCGCTTTTCGCACGTTAAAAATTGAGCAGCATTAAAAATCCAGCTTCCCATTGGAACGTCGCGTTGGTGGTGGATCGGCTGTTTCACTGTTACAATTCATGTCGAGAGACGTGGTTGTAAATTCCTTCAACCTGATGATGAGCTATAAGCTTGAAATTAGGATCGTGAAAACAACTATCTGTGAGTAGAAACTAACTCACCTCACCATTTATCATTTCTAGAAGGACTGTTTGTAGGCTTTAAAAGAAGTGTCTTGGTCAATGCAGGGAAAAAATAATTAAAAATAAACTTGTGTAATTAACTATCTATTTGTTCCGTTTTGAACCCTCGTGCTGCTGATGGTCGAAACTGCTGAAAAGGAGACAGAGCGCGCTGGCCATCCCCTCACGGATAAGCGGCAACCGAATCACTTTCAGACTTCAGTCCGCTCCTCGCCTTCTTCGTATACGCGTCTCCCGCTCGTTTCAATTTTTGACATTTTTTCGGAATCAAATTGAAAAAAAATTCCCTACAAAAAAAGCGTGTGTGTCGTGTTTTGTCCACCCAACTGGAATTCAACTTTTGACGGCAGGTAAGAATGGGCCAATTTAGCAAACGTCACGTGATTGTTGTATAATTTCTGATTTGTTTGTTTGTTTAATTCATTAATTCGTTTCAACATTTGACATTGTGCTTGGTCTAAAATTAGAGATTATTTCAAACAGTTGTAATATTTTTCATTGTAACAAATGTAATAGTGTAAAAATATCATATTTAAAGGGGAAAAATGTTTAGTTCTAATTAAAATCAAGTTTTCCAAAGAAATGAATCGGGCTTTGAGATCTGTTACTTCTTAATGATCACGATCAAGTTTAAGTACGGTCCACCGGCCAATGGAGACTGCAACGCCTCAGGACCGAAGGTGCACCGGACCAATCGGTAATTATTGAAGATGATGCGGTAGAAACAGGCATACATATGTGGCCTCTTTACCTGCCCCAGGGTCTCACTAATAACACGGGAGGAGGTAAAGAACACATATCACTGCCATCCTTGGGCCTCGTTTCTTCGAGAAATTATAAACTATTAGTATGCCCAATTAACTACGATATGTCACGGCTGGGCAGGAAAAAAGGCCGTTGGGCAGCCCTTATGCTCTTTGGCATTAATTAACATTCTTAAAAAGGTTTAACTGGGAGGGCTGTTGGTAAATTATGCTCTTATTTTATTTGAAATAGGACAAACTTTATTACATTTAAATGTGTGGTGATTAGTGACCGAACGATTTCTGAAGAAGTAAATTTAAAACAAATCATTTCTTAAGGGAAAAATCTACGATAAACGTACAAATAGATTTTTCTCCTAATATTATTTTGCACTAACACCATAACACTAACACTATTAATACTACTTTCGGACCAAAGAAAACAAAACTCAGTATAAATGGCTTGTTGGAGTTTAACTGAAAATGGTGAAATGCATAAATACCTGACCCACCAAAGCAGCAAGAATACGCGAACCACCCCTTAATTCCAATAAAAAATCTATAATCCTTAGTCGGATTGTTCATGGTTAAATAAAGACCCCCCCCCAACCTAATGCTAGTAAAGGTTGATTATTATTTAATAATTAGGAACTTAGTCAATTATGATGATTAATCAATGTCTAAACAGTGGAAAACAAGCTTCTCTTATTAACAGCAATTTAAAATAATATAACACCATAAAATCGATAATCTAATAAACATCTTTGATTTTTCATATATTAAAAAACAATTGTGTTGCAGTTCGGTAGTTCACAAATCATCCTGGTCAGCCTAGTGTCACTGTTTTTCTGCCAACCCTTTGGTCATTTCACTCTCTTCGGTGTAAGGTTTCTTTAGGTTTTAATGGTCGGTTAAAATCATTTAAAAAAAACATAGTGAAGGCGCAAAGTAAACAGCGAAAATGCGTTCCTGAGATACCAAAACAGCCAAGAAAGGCGGATCTTAATGTCAATACTCGTAATGACACAAATGTCGCCAAGTGTCCATAGTTTTAGTCAAGTTTCTTTGATCATAGATTAGGTTCTACGTTTGAAAAATGTTCGCTTATGCTTATATTTGATACCGAAGATTTAAATTGTTTTGCCTTGTTTTGTGTTGAAACGCCAAAACGGCGAAGATCGGCGCCCCAAACAGAAATTTTAAAAAATCCCTAATAATTTCTTTGATTGTCCAGTGATCTCTGTTTAACCAAGACCTTTTAAATATTTAAATAGTTCTTTGATCATAGATTCATTATATATTCGGAAATTTATAACTTATCGAGATATTATAACATGGACGAACTATTGTGCCTGGTGATTGTAATTTTTGAATAAGAAAGGGAAATTTTCATAAAAACAAAAACTTTCCTTTAAGAAACAAGCCTATTAACCTAGCGTAAAAATCGTTTTACTGCCTGACAACGCATTGTACCAACACAATGTTAATACTAGTATCCACACAAACACGTTTTGATTGCTTACTGATCTGGTGTTTTATTTCGTCAAAAATGCTATACCCATAGTAAACATTAATTAACTTATAATCTTCAATGGTTAAAAGCAAATATAACAATACCAAAGGACAAGCAAATACAAAAGGACTACACAAGGGAGAAAGCACTGACCAACCACTAGACGTGGTGAAATGTCGAAAAAACGAAAACAATGAGATGAGATGTCTGCACAGTAATGTCGACGTTTCCGATCATATCGGTCCACATGTCCTCACGGCTTTTGTATGTCAGACGCGCTATGGCTTTAACCATCTTAATTGGTGGACTTCCTCATAAAGGATGAAAATTCTCTGTTCAATTTATAGACTTCATTCGCTAACATCAATTCAACAAATCCTATTAAGAAACAACATTATTGTAGTTTGGTCGGTCATAGATACCCTGGCCCACCTAAACTTGCAATTTTGAGCTAAAACACACGAACAGGGAGGACAGGTCTAAGATCTTCATTGTTTCAATCAAAATGTACAATAATTTCTTGGATTTTAATGATTTTTTCCGTAACCAACACCCTATAAATTTTATTAGTTAAAATTCTTCGATCACACAAAGATTAAAAAAAGGAAATTAGTTTCTTAAATCAGTAAAAATAGTCTGTTGTAGAATTTTTCTTAAAAAAAATTTTTTTTTGCTGTTTTGTCGCGCAGAGATCATCCTGGTCCGTCCGTCCAGTCTCACCATTAGGCCTATCAGACGCATTTCCTCATTTCACTTTCTTCAGTGCTGAATTAAATATCCTGGATTGTCTCTGGTTAATAGCAAAGTGGTAGTGATAGCAAAGACAACAGTATTGAACTCACTTACAGATATTTAAACAAAGGAGGAACTGTTGGACCTGGAGATCGTATTTTCTTAATAACGAAGGGAAATTTTCATAAAAACAAAAACTTTCCTTAAAAAAGACTTCTAATCTAGCATACAAATCATTTTTCCGCCCGTCATTTTTTATTAACACAGTATTAACTAATAGTCTCAAACCTAGTTGGGTCGTACACATGATGATTATCCATCCAGTCTCGCCATTAGGCCTGTCAGACGTACTTGGTCATTTCACTCGCTTCTTGGATTAATAGTAATAATAATACTCCTTATAACCTTTGTGACTGGAAAAAAAAGTTCCTCCTGATCTCGCCATTTCGCCCGTAGTGTTGAGTTTGTTTAAGTTCTATAGGTTAATGGCTATAAAAACAAAACCCTTTGAAGTAGACTAACTGAGAATGACGCAATTTCCGAAACTGATAGATTGTTATAATTTACAAAATCCCACAATCATTTCTTGGATCGTCATCGGTACCGTAAAGAGTGTTACTTAAGATTCTTCGATTGTTGATTATAGATTTGACAGCGCAAATGGCTGATTACTATCTTCATTTTAAAATACTAATAATTAATCACACAATGCTATTTTATCGAAGTTTAAAATCTACTAATTGTGTTATAAAAAACGCATGTACTAATCGTAAAGTCTAAGTTGAGTCGGTTGGTCGAATACGTGAATAATTTATCGTGTGATTAGTTTGTTTTCCCTTTTTGTGTTTGTTAAATAAAAACGTTTGTCTTTTCCTCTTGGTAACTAGATGAGGAGTGAATATTCTGGCACAAAATATATTTAGGAAAAAAGAGCCCAATTAACTGTCTTGCTGTTGGAAACACAATCCGACACGGTTTTGTAACGGATGCTGCTGCTTAAAAACATCAAACGCCTTCCGATCGTCTGCCCGTCTTTTAAATAGCTGTTCAAATGTAATTCTAATTTAAGGAAAACAGTCATGACTTCCGTGCTCGGCCGGCGAGTCACGCATAGCAATTGTAAACGGGGCTTAAACCGATTTCGATCTTACAACCCAAATAGGCTCGAAACGTGGATCCTCCAAAGTTTCACGACGGTAGTCGAGATCGTGAATTTTTCGCATGTCAGTCTTTCCCGCGACGACAATCGAACATATCTGTACTATTCAAAGAGACTTTAATTACCATCGTCTGATTGTTATTTCCTTCTTCTTTAAGAATTGGAAATTTTTCTTTCCCTGGGAATTAACTTTCACTCGATAACGTAACCGTAAAAAAATGACATTCTGTTTGATTTTTTTTCTTAGGAGTCGTCCCGATTGATGATGTAAAATTTCATTGTATCCGTTGAATAAACTAAAAGTATTTGCGTAAGAGATGTTTAAACATTAAAGAAACCTCAATTCACCTAGTACGTTCATCTGCTAAATTTTGCCAAGATAATCTCTGAAGGTCGACGAGCCTGACGAGACACCGCAGACACAGTAGTCATGTGGGCTCGGAGCGTCAGCCTGTTCAGATATTGTTAGGAAGAAGAAACATATGAATATGCCCTCTGTTGATGTAGAGTCTAGGCACGCTGAGATTCCTTCTCGTGGAGCGGAAATGCCAAGGCCTGAAGGATACGGGAGTCTTTACGAAAGCTTAGGGATCTGGTAAAAGCTTTAAGCGCTAGACAACAATGGAGATGCATAATAGACCAATATTGGTAGCGCGCTAGGTCATAAAGAGGCCGACGTTTAGGGTTGTAAGGTGCAACAAAACATCAAAAGACAGAACAAACAACTAGCAGACCGTAAGTCGTAAACTACCATGCTCCGAAAAATATAAAAATTAAGGTGTTTTAACTCATTTTCAGGCTAAGAAATTAAGGGCTGTTAACTTTATTTGTCACAATTCTGTGCTTTAGTATAAAATTTTCACTTTTAATCTTTCCTTATGTTTGTCTTGATCGTGGTATTGACACAATATCGCACTCATAAAGGGTCATCTTGGTCTTCTTATTGTTTGGTTGTTTTACAGTGATGCACGGTGTTTTGCTCTTCGTACATACATACCACTGATCATTTTGCCCGGTTGTCGATTCATGTCAACTTACCCTTAGTTCCGGAATAGCAAATTTAAAACAATTCTCGACAATTAGCACAGTTTGCCTGAATACTCCTAATGTACTCTGTCTAACGTGAGTTCTTGTTCGTCTTAAGGACTTTGAGGAAAATAGATGGTGCGTTATTTCATCGTCATTTTGTTTGTTTGTTTTTTT